TGGTGGACCAGGTAATTCAACGGCTCGAATTCCTTCAAAGTGACCTCAAAGTGTTTGCCTCAGTCAACTTGATGTACTGTCAGAGATCACTCACAGTGACACTGATGGTGAACCCAGACCCTTCAAGTGTTAAAAGGGAAGGAGGAAATGCCCTGTCCTTAGTGTAGACTAGGGGTCCCCTCCAGCCATCACTCTATTTTATCCTCACGCCTCTCCTTTGAGGCAGGTATTAATGTCTCGCTTTCAGAGGACACAGGCTCCGAGAGGTTAGTGGACACAGGGCTGCACGGCCAGCACCGATTTCTATTCTCGAACATTCTAACTTGTCCAAGAGCACTGCCATGTTGACCAGGGTCTACAAGCAAAGACTAGAATATGATGTTAATTCTGTCCTGAGGTGGGAATTCTAGACTGGTCCAGCTGCTATGAGGGTCTACGAGGGCGGAGGCCTGGCTCACAAGCCTGACTGCAAGTGTGGCATCTAAGAGAGGGTTGGGCCCACTCGTTTGAAATGGAGCTCACCTTCTCTCAGGTGGTTCTCAGTGTCTTCATAGGTGTGTTTTTCTGTGTTTCTTTTTCTAGCTCTGCTTCTATTTCTACCTTTCTTCTTCTTTCCAATCTTTCCACCTCTCTCAATCATTGGTTTTGATCAAAACAAACCTTTACTGATCTGAACAGGATATTTTTATCTGTTTATTTTATTTACTGAACAGAATTTTGTTTTCTGCCTCATACAAAAGCAGGCAGGTGGGCAGAATGTTTTTTATTCATCTGGAAAACAAATGTATTGTAATTTTTCTTATATGTGACCCTTGATTGATTCTGACCACTGCTCCCCCAAAGTCTAGAAATTTGGAACCAGCAATTGAATAAAAGTCCCAGCCTAGAGCTCCAAGCCCAGAGCAAGAGAGGACCTGTGGTCGTTACCTGACGTGGCGCTGAGGCGAGAAGCGTGATGGCAGGGAGCATGCACAGGAGGGGGTGCAATCTGGTACATGGAATGGAGACCCCAGTCAGCGGCCGCCCACTCACGTGGCCTGGGCCTTCTCATGACATGTTCCGCCACTCTCCAGCCTTGGCCTTGACCCTTCCCAAGTGAACTGCTCCCCTGGGACCTGACCTCACCTAGTCTTGGACTCCCTCTATACTTTTGTTTGCGCAGCTCCCTCTGTCTGCCATGTCCTGGTCCCCTGGTCATCACCTACCCATCCACTGACGTCCTCCCCGATCCATGGGACCAGCTAGAATGGATTCCTCCCTCACGCTGCATTGTGACCAGAGGCAGGATCTCTGTCATCCTGGCTGCCCTAGTGCTCACATAGTGCCTGGCACATAATAGGTATTTATTCAACATATATTGGAAAAAGGAAGAGGGGCCTCATACAGAAGACTCTTTTGTGTCTGAATTTAGCAGAAGGATTGGAGTAGGCTAACTTGTCCCTAGCTGTGACATTTCTATCCTGCCTGCAGGCCTGCCCCTGAGTACCCACACCCCACCACCTCTCCAAGGTTCCCTCTGCCACGAAGCTTTCGGCTCTCCATTGACAGGAAGAAACCTGCCCTTCATCTGTGCTCCCAGCTACCTGTCCTCATCTGGTCCTCCCTGGTGACGAGTCTGCACACCCAAGAGAAACACACACAAGGCCATCATCCCCGTACCCCACACAGTGAGCCAGATGCCGGAGGATGGAACCTCATGACTAGATTCAGTAAGTAAAGGCATCTCTGCCATCCTTTGGGAGGAGAAAAGGCCAGAACTGTTGTCCTGCAGGTTGACAGGGCCAGTCGAGAGTCAGAGGTCAACCTCCAGGGAGGCGAGGCAGCGCTGGCCCAGGCGGTCACTCATCCCCAGCAACATGGGATCAAAACGTTACACTACCTTGTTGGTCAGTGGGTCTCCTGGTCCATCTTCTCCTTTCCCAATACTTAGCTCTGACTGCTTGCAATTAGTATCTGAGAGGCAATCTAAAAGAGTGAAGCTGCATTATGGAGAACCCCCGACAACTGCTTAAATGGCAAAGGTTAGTTCCTTCACTTACTCAGCTGGGCCTTGCCAAGGAAATAAGATCAAGAAAGTGGTGTTCGTCTTTAGCATTTATTTATAATTGGAAAAACTGTTAGTTAGTTTGTTTGTTTCTGAGCAAGCACAGACCACAAGCACGTCACAATCAATTGGCTATACATGAATATTTTTGTCATTTTCTTACTAACAGCAGAAATGAAATAGCACCAAGAGAGGTGTGCGCTACACATTACATAGACAATCTGTGGTATGCAACAAAACTCAGGCCACAAAGTGATAATTAGACACTTCCTGTCTGCCTTGGGGAAGCAGAGGTAAAACAGGCTGGATGCGAGCACCGGCAGCTGACAGAAAGCTTTGGGGAGCCAACGCACTGCTTTGGGATCATTTTGCAGGCAAGTGAAGCAGACAGTGGGAAAGCTTCAGGCCTGGCCCTCTTGCCAGGGGAATGTACAAAAACAGGCAGAGCAGGCATTAGAAGCTTGGTACCTTCAGAAAGGCAAAACCAAAACACTGCTTGTGAAAACTGAAATCAGTTTCCATCAGTTGTTTGGGATACAGAGTGAGACTGGCTGAGTTTTGTTTGTAAACAGTGGAAATCAAAGGAAGTTTCTTGCCAGTGAAGTGACACATTCAAGAGTCAAAGTGAACGACAACCAGGGTTTTCTTGGTTGGGGGCTGTGAAAAAGATGGGGATACTAAGGAGCCAAAAAAGACTTCATTTAGGTCAGCTACAGTCTCAGGTAGGGCAGGAAGGAAACAGCAAGGTGAGTAGGGCTGGGAGTGCAAAGTGAGAGGGAAACTGCAATTTGGGCAATGCAAACAGGATGGACTGATAGGTAGCAGCTGTGTGTCTGTGGAGACAGATTTCTTTATACTGCCCGTCATGTCTAGCACTGGGTCCGGCAGGCAGACATTCAACAAATGGCTGAGTGTTCCCCTGTGTGCTGTAAGCTTTTATTTACTTGAGTCTCAAATAATGTCTGACTTGTCTATGGAGAAATCCAAATCATAGCTACCATGTCTGACTAGTGCCAGATCTGGAGAAGAAACGTACATGGACAACTTCTCTGGAAGAAGTTTCCATCACGTTGAGAGAGTTCTCTGGTTCATGTTAAGATTCGCTAACAAGTAGCCAGTAAACTACTGGAACCAGTAAACTACTCCAGTCACTTCCAGACAGGCATTCCAAAGTTGTGATTCATAAACACGGAATTCTCTAACATTTTCTACCTTCGGTGCTTTAACTTTCCACCTCTTTGCTCACAGTTCCAGACCCTGAGACAGAAAGGAAGATGGCAGCAGGCTGGCTGAGCGCTGCGACTCTACCATTCCACTTCTCTTCAGAAACACAGCCTGTGTCTGTCCTACACACTGGATTCATTTGCAAAAGACTTCTCAATTGGCCCCATGGTGGCAACAAAATCGTAGAAGCGAAGACTTCAGCTACAATGGAGGGAACACAAGAGGGCTCGCCGAGAGGCGGTCTGCGTCCTCCGAACCGGAAGGAGCTACAGGGACTTCCGGGGTGAGGAGCTCTGGGAGCTTCACGCTTAGCTATTTCCATTACAGAAGCACAAGCGAAGGCTTGGTGACGTGAAACCTCCCGGCCCTTCAGGATGTCGGCAGCAGTGAGGACTTCAAAGACACGAGAAATAAAGCGTACTGAGCCGAATACCTGTCACAAGGCTTGACGTTTGCAAACGTAACTTTTCTGTAGCTATGCTTGGTTCCCTCACAAGCACTGGGGGGCTTTTCACAACAACTCTTTGACTAATGCCTACAACACAACGCTAGCACAGCTAAAGGGGGCACCCGCCACTCCGGGGCTTGGCCACACGGGCACGTGACACATAACACATCGAGGGCTTCTTCTATTCATGGGAGAGGTCAAAAGTCCTCACTAATCGCGAGCAGGGAACGCTCCTAAATCTTCAGCTAAGTCACAGACACTTCCTATATAACCTGGAGCTCGGCGACCTCTGTTCTTTCTGAGGAACAGAACACGGGCAGCTCGGGGAAGGGGAGCAAACACCGCCACACCTGCCACGCCCTCCACATCCCACCTCGCGTCCTCCCAAGCAGGGACATCACATTCTAAACACACTGTCCCTACACCTTGAGCTTTCTTCCTCAGTCACCTGAAACCGGCTGCTCTGCAAAGTGAGGCAGCCTGCGGAGGGAAACAGAGGAGCACGGTTCCCTCGCCTTGTCATCTTCCTCTGATGTCTACGTGTATCTAAAAGGCCGAGCGTTTTTACGCCGACCTAGCTTTCGGCATCAGTGGCATATCTATTACCGGATACACAATGTAAAGTCCACAGATAGAAATCTAAATGCAGCCACACGTTTCTAACAGAAGATTCTGTGAACAAGCTAATCTTAACAGACAACTCATTTTAGTGGACGTTAAGGCTGAGGTTTTTTTTTTTTTTTTTTTGTTTTAATAAATATTCCCATAACTGTCAATTGCTGAAGCCCAAGTTGAGCTTCTACAGCACGATATAACTCTGACTTTTGGAAAAGAACACATTTGCCTAAAGTTCAAAACTGGCCACTGACACAGACCATGGGGAAGAATAGGAGAACACCCTAAGGGAATCACCAAGCCCGACCAGGTCATTCTCGCAGCCATCCGGGAGCCGCCTTGCGTGCTGAGGCCTGCCAGGGGCAGTGGGCAGCCTCAGCCACACAGGAGGGCGCCGCCAGTCAGCGATGCTTCCCGGTGTTCCAGGGGCCCAGCAGAGTGAACTCTGGGCCAGGCTCAGGCAGGCCTGGCTAGATTCAAAGAGGGCACATGCCACGTGGTCTTTGAAGCCAGTCCCTCCATTAAAAGAAACCCAGCCAAAGAGCTCCTGGAACACTCAGGGCCAAGGCAGATGAGAAGCCTCTAATCAATTTTGTGGCCTTTTTGTTGGTCGGTTCAAAAGAAAAAAAAGAGGAGAGAAGAAGAAAAGGAAAGTGCAGTGAAATTTACTCTTTAGCCTCAGCCAGTTTATTGTTCATCTCTTTACTTTGCTCCTTGTCTTCGGGTTGGGCGGCACTGGGGGCCTCTGCGCTCTTTTTCTTGGCGGCCCGGCCTGACGCCACCTGTTTGTCTTTGGCCTTCCTGGGGGGCTTATGGCTCGCTGAGGTCTTTTTTGGTTTGGAACTCTGAACACTAGGTTTCTCCACCTGCACGGAGAGACAGACAGACCGCAGATACAGAAACAGAAAAAGGAGAGGGAGTGGGAGAGAGAATTTAAGGAGAAGACATGATTAATTAAAGGACAGCAGTAACGATAAAATTTGACTCTGAGGAGCGTGGAAAGTATTTGGGGTGAATACTTTAGGTGGCTTCTCCTGTCTGAATGGCCTGGCCAGTCATTTTGGCAACACTCTTGCCGGCCACATCGGCCCTCGCCGTCTGCTGTCAGCCCTGTGCCACTATTTTGCAGTATCTGCTACTACTCCCTGTGGAAGATTATATCTCATCACCTTGTTCAACTCAGGCAGGCACAGGATTTGTGTTAGCCCATGAAATGTGAGCAGAAGTGACTGGGTCACTTCTAAGCGGAAGACTGGAGAGTTGACTGTGTGCCCAAGCTCTATTTTCCTCTGAAACAGAGGCTGCCGCATCAGCCTGAGGCCCAGGCTGATGAGAGGAGAAGGCCCATGATCATCATCATCCTAAGACAGGAACCTTTGCTGTGCAGGTCAGAGATTCTGGGGTGGTTGACTGTCTGGATGTCAGCTGTCCTTGCTCTGTTTCTGTCCAGGATGGTGAGCTCATAGCAAGGAATGTTGCTACCGAGAAGCCATGGAGGGCCAGGAGGCCTCATCTCAGTCAGGTCTTCAGCACTGCCTGCCCTCCGCTCCTCCACTCACTGGCTCCCTCCTCCAGAATCACTGCTGAAGCCCACTCCACTTTCCAGGGTCCCCTCTCTAGCTCTGTCCCCTCATTTCTAGGAGATGACCTTGCTTCTCTTCCCCGAGAACTCTGGAGTCGCTAGGTAGGCTCTCTCACTGTGGACTGCCCATTCATCTCTAGGTTGACTTCCCCATCTCCCTCCTCTCTCCCTTTGAATCTTCTTTAGTCTAAGGCCAACCCCCTGTTCTGGGTCCCACCTCAAGTGTGAAAGGTGCACAGAGATCATGTTGGGCTCCCCAGGCTATGTCATTCACTGGGGTCCAGGGATTTCTAGTCTGCTGACTTGTAAATAAGGTAACCTAGCATCTTGGCATGATGAAAGCACAGTGGGCTTTCATTGAGCATGGAACTTTCAGTGCTACAACAGGAGGAGCCCAGGCAAACTGGGCTGGTTAGTTACCTTACTGGACACCAGTCCTGAGCCAAATAGGACAGTCCACTTGAGTGCATGAATTTATGACAAAAGCAGAGAAAAGGCCCTTTAGACTCTGATTCTTTCAGCTGTTGTAGATAGGAGAGCTGTTTTTTGCACAGTCTCCCATGGTTTGACCTGATAAAACAAGCTATGAATGAATGATTTCTGCCTCAGCAACTGTATCTGCAACATATTTCTCTCTCAAACTGGCATGCAAATGAGGCAAAATAGTATTATTATAGGACAATCCCTCAATCAACTGTAAGTTACTTAGAAAGGTACATCATTCACAAACTGTTTATTATAGTAACAATTTCTCAGAACCACCTTGTAGCTGATGTGACAGGTGTGAGTGAAAGACTAAGAACTCCTGTGGATGGTCTCTATCAACGAAAGGGGCAGCGATTTTCAGGGACTCAGGAGGTGAGGGAGAAGTGACCAGTGAGTGGAACTGAGGGTGAGGCAGGGTCCAGGTGGAAAGAAGCCAGGCAAGGATGCCTCCAATACTGGACCAGCACTTGGGGAGAAAAGCAGTTATTTCAAGACAAAGGCATTTAGGGTTCCGGTGAGATTTCTGTCTCTTTTTTATTGAGTTTCTCGAAATCAAAAACTTAATTCCCTGGAAATCTGTAGCTTAATCTTTCTTAATCATAGGTTATGTTCCTTTTGACATTCCCTTTGAATTAACAAGGGTTTCTGTTAAGAAAACCTTCTGTCTCTGTGTGCTACAAAAAAAGGGGATGACTTTTAAAGCAGCCCTTGGGGGTTGGGCCAGCTTGGCAGTAGCTCTGCAGCTAACCCCTGCATTCCAGGCTGTGCTGATGCGCTCCCCACAAGATCAGTCTCACCTTCGAGGGCTCCTTGAAAGGTTCACTGTAGAGGCTGCGTATTCTTCTGCGATCGATGACCTTATTGTCAGCTGGTGTTGGCTTATTGGCTTCCCCTTTGAATTGGGCACTGTAGCTGGTCTCATGCGCCATCTTGTCATCTGGGGGCCTGTACTGGGACCTGGCTTTTATTGCTTTCACAGGCTTGATATCCGTCCATGCTCTGAATTCATTCCTATGAATCAAAGAAAGCATAAGGGTTATAAACATCATATGCCTCGAAGCAGTGCTGGTCACACAAGCTCACAACCCCCCACAGCTCTCAATTAGTGCTTGTGGTGCTGGCTGTACTGAGGTTCCTCATAGCCAGTGTGAGTTTTCCCTCCTGCCTAGTTAATCCAGGTTGTGGCAACAGCTGGAGCATCTTGGGGGATGAGCTCAGGCTGCCAGCTACAGAAGGCACAGTTATGGAAAGGGCGATTCTAAAGTGTCTAAAATGAGGCTGAAAAACTCAATCCATTCAATTCTTTATGGAGTCAACAAATACATGGTTGAAAGTCTGCTGTGTACACGGTTGAGGGATTGGGAAAGTCAAATCAGACAATGTGTCAGGCAGACACCTGGTAAGTGCCAGTTCTCTTTCCCCCTATGTCATGCGGAAGAACTTTTGTTATTCATAATCCTTCAGGATAATTCGTCTTTTGATAGTAAAGGGCTCACTTCCTAGACTCCCAGAAATTTAACAATCTTAATCACTTTGGATGGAAATCTATGTAAAATGTCTAAATGGGTGCAGCCCTTAAATAAGCAAAATGCACTGGACATAACATCAGTATCACAGCTGGGGCTTGTGTTGGGACATGCAAGTACAGGTGAGTCTTCACATCTTTTGGTGTGAGTGGCTGTTGGCCCGTGACCCACATCTGCTGCTTTTTGTTGCTGTTGTTGTCAGTGGGTCAGTTTTCTTGTTCACAGCAATCTCGGTCATGATTTTTTTTTTTTACATCATTTCGTACATTTTTGTTTGTTTGTTTTCATCTCAATTGTAATCCCGGTGGGTTTCCCATCACTAAGTCACCCATGTGCCATCACCATAGTCCCGTGCACTACCCCCCACCCTGTTTTTTGATCCCATTCCCCTCTCCACCCCCACAAAATGTCTCTGGTATATGGCTCTTTATTATTCTTATTATTTTTTCTCCATTATACTTCACTCATGACTTCTAATCAGCTAATTCTGGCCTGTTATGGGGCTGGAGGGCAGATGGCCAACAGTGTTCAAAACCAGGTAAACTAAAAGTAGCTGCTGCCAAAGGCTACTTGGGCCCATGCTGTTTGTTCAGGCAGTCAGATAAGCAAAAGGCTCTTGAAGTTTATCAGGTCTGCTCTCATTTGGAGCCACAAACTTGAATCTGTGTTAAAAGGAAAGGAGGACTAAGGTATGACTATCTGTAGAGTTCTGTTTTTCCAGCATCCTCTTCTCCCTCACCGATAACTCCTTCAGGATTCAGAGATGAATACCAGAAAGGAGGCCACTGGGCAGCAGAAAGAGCTTAGACAGTGACGGGGACATGTGGGTTGGCGCCCCAGCACCACCTCTAACTAGCTATTGACTGGGCCCCTTTCTTCAGGAGCCTTCGTTTCCTCATTGTCAGATGAAAGAATTACAGGCATACATGGTTTTATTGTGCTTCACAGAATTGTACAGTTTATAGGTGCTGGGTGTGTGGGCACCCTGCATCAGGTCAGCACAATTTTTCTAATAGTAGGCGCTCACTTTGTGTCTCTGTTACATTTTGGAAATTCCTTCACCATTTCAAACTTTTGTATTGTTACTATGTCTGTGGTGATGGTGATTTGTGAGCCGTGATCTTCCACATTACTGCTGTAATTATTTTGGAGTATCACGAACCACACTGAAGACTGATTTTAGGTGATAGATGTGGTCACTCCATTGACCCACCATCTCTTCATCAGTTGGCTCTGACCCGGCCCTCTATCCCGGAGACCCAACAATATTGACATCAGGCCAAGTAATAATCCTACAGTAGCCTCTAAGTGTTCTAGTGAAAGAAAGAGCCTCGTGTTTCTCATTTTAAATAAAAAGCTGGAAATGACTAAGCTGAGTGAGGAAGGCAAATTGAGAACTGAGATGGGCTGAAAGCTGGGCCTCTTGTGCCAGTCAGTCAAGTTTGTGAAAGCAAAGGAAAGTTCTTGAAGAAAATTAAAAGTGCGCTACTCCAGTGAATTCCGGACTAAGAAAGGAAAACAGCCTTATCACTGACATGGGGAAGGTTTCAGTGGTCTCGATAGAAGTTCAAATTAGCTATAATGTACTCTGAAGCCAAAGCCTAAACCATTGAAAGGCTCTAGTTCAATTCTTTGAAGGTTGAGAGAGGGAAAGAAGCTGAAGGAGAAATGTGAAGCTAGCAGAGGTTGGTTCATGAGTAACATCCATGTAACATAAAAGAAGTGTTGATGTAGAAACTGCAGCAAGTTATCCAGAAGATCTAGCTAACAGCACTGATGAAAGTGACTACACGAGGCAACACATTTCACTGTAGACAAAATATCCTTCTATGGGCAGGAGATGCCATCCTGGACTTTCACAGCTACAGCGAATAGTCAATGCCAGGCTTCAAAGGGCTCTGACTCTCTTATTAGGGATTAATGCAGCTGGTGATTTAAGTTGGAGCCAATGCTCACTGACCATTCTAGAAAATCCAAGGGCTCTTAAATCTACTCTGCCTGTGCTCCTGAAGGAAACAATAAAGTACGGATAGTAGCATCATTTATTGAGTATCTTATTTTATTTACATAGGGACATTATTAAATATTTTAAGTCTACCATGGAGACCTACTGCTCAGAAAAAAACACTCCGTTCAAAATGTCACTACTTATTGACAGTGCATCTGGCCACTGACAGCTCTGATGGAGACGAGATGTACAAGGGAGTTCGCGCTGTCCTCGTGTCTGCTAACACAACATCCATTCTGCAGCCCATGGGTCAGGGACTAGTTTTGACTTTTAAGTTTTATTATTTAATAGAAATACATTTTATAAGGTCATAGCTGCCGTAGATAGTGATTCCTCTAATGGATCTGGGCAACATCAATTGAAACCTTCTGGAAAGGATTTACCATTCTAGATACTATTAAGAGCATTTGTGATTCATAGGAGGAGGTACAAATAAACTATTATATATATATATAAAATCAACATTAACAGGAACTTGGAAGAAGTTGATTCCAGGCCTCATGAATGAACTTGAGGGGCTCAAGACCTTCACGGAGGAAGTAACTGCAGAAACAACAAGAATTAGAAGTAGAGCCTAAGAAGTGACTGAATTGCTGCAATCTCACAATAATACACAATGGACTAGTAAGTGTCGCCTCTTATAGATGAGTAAAGAAACTGATTTACTGAGATGGAATCTACTTCTGGTGAAAGGCTGTAAACTTAGTTGATAAGGTAGCAGCAGAGCTGAGAAGATTTGACTTCTAGTTTGAAAAATGTTCTATTGGGTTAAAATGCAGTCAAACAGCATCACATGCTAATGAGAAATCTTTCACTAAAAGGAGAGTTGGGCTTTCCCTGGTGGCATACAGGTTAAAGCACCGCATTATAAAGATCTCTGAAGCCACTGCAGCACGAGTTCGATCCCCAGCCAGGGAGCTGACCCACATGGCACGGCAGACCTCTTCTGGCCTGCCCACTGCTACCCTCAGCATTGTACTTTGTCAATCTGCCTGTTCTGCTCCCCACTCTGTATCTGGTGAATCCTGTCACCCATCACACCTCTGGCCTGTACCCCAGTTCTGAAAGCACAAATTAAAAAAAAAAGGAGAGTCACTTGATATTGCAAACTTCACTACTGTCTTATTTTAAGAAATTGTCACAGCTACCCCAACTTTCAGCAGTTACCACCCCAATCAGGCAGCAGTCATCAACATGAGGCAAGAACTCTCTACCAGTAAAGAGATTAAGTACAGTTTTTGTTGGACAGAATGTTATTGTACTCTTTAATAGGGTGTAAACACAGCTTTTATTGATGTGGGAAACCAAACATTTATTGTTTTACTTGCTTTATTGCGGTGGTCTGGAACTGAACCCACAATATCTCTTAGGTGAACCTATTCATCATGCACTGTCCTTTTTATTGAATACATCATTTTAGTTTTAAGGCTCTAAGTTGATAAAACTGAATTGGTAGTATTGAGTTATTTGGTCATTTGACCTCCTGCACAGAATTGTCTCACATGAGCAGAGAAATCAGTTTCTTAAGACTCTCTCCCAAGCTTTAGGCTCATCTTTCTAGTGTAGCTTGGACCTTCACCTACACGCCTCATCGACAACTCAAACTCAGTGTTTTTATAACTAGTTTATCTTATTTTATCTGCCAAACTGTCTTCTTGGATTTCCTCATTGCTCAATTTCACCCATTCATTCATTTGCAAAATAATTTGAGTGCTTAGCATCTGCCTAGCAGGGTGATGAGCTCTGTGGAGACTGAACTGAGTAAGGCTCATTTTGCTTACTCAGTTATTGAGTAGTAATGGCATCATGGTGCAGGCAACACGCTGAGTCATGAAAGAGAAAGGAGTGGGGAATATGGAGGGGAGCTCCTACATCAGCTCCGAAGTGCGCATTGGAGCGGCTGATGAGGCTGCTGGTCGGAAGAGGGTGTTGGGCTCCAGGTGAGGGAGGTGCAAGTGAAGAGGATGAGGATCTAGGGAGGCGAAACCCTGTGGCAACTTGCAGTTGAGGTGGCTGGGTAAAAGCTTGGTGAGGAAGAACACAAAAGGGTGGTAGATCAGGAAGTTCCCGCAGGCCTTCCTCTGGGGGTGGTGTGGACTGTACAAGAGGTGCCAAATAACTTCAAGCCACAGCATTTGGAGAACTGAAGAAAATCAAGTATTCTGTTCTACATTAGATACTGATGAAGGCTGCTTACACTCCCTAATCTATAATCCACATGCCTGAAGTTTTGAAATCCTTGTAGGGATGAGTTTCCCTTACTAAAGCAAACATTTGAAATCTCCAGGCCTTCATAAAACCCATTTTCCTGGACGACCAGGGAGGCAGCTCCAGGTATGATGAGACTGACTGGGGACAGGAAGAAGCCCCTGGGAATGGGACAGGTAAGGAGAGGAAACTTAAAAGACACTTGTCCAGCACCTACTTTCTGTAGGTTGCACCCTTTCTGAACCTAACTGGTTCTGCCCTTTTATCAT